CACCTAGATGCACAAGAACAATGGACAGAGCTTGCTTAAGGCAAAGATACACCTGTTATAGACCTGGAGCATGACTACCCACTGTGACCTGCCTAGTTATCAAGTTATGACAGGTCACCCTGTGAGGCTACTTTCTGTCATTGAACTTGTCAGATTTACCACATGGCACTTTTAAAATTGAGGTATGAGAGGCAATTCTGAGGTAAAGATGAGGTAGGAATGGTTGGGGTTTCAAAAGGTTGATATAGAGAGATGTTCAGTAACCACTAGTCTGTCCTGCCATGTAGATTGGTTTAAAAATGTATCTGCTAAATCTTATTATGGGCAAGTCCCCTAATTTAAATTCTTTAAGGGAGAAGTAAAAGATTCTTATAAACCTGCAGGTACTTAATTGTCTTTGGCTCAACATAATTCAAATGCTAAGGCTCAAAATAAGACAAATGCTAAAGTCGCACATTTTGGGGAGGCCTGTTCTGAACCCCTAGAATAGCTATTCAGTAATTTATCCTATCATCTTGTTAGCACTAATAGAAATCTTTTTTTATTCATGCAATTATCCCATTCTTTTCTCCTAAAATTCCCTTCCTCTCACCCTATAATCAGGACACTAGGTGGATTTCTGCTCGAATCTGTGCTTCTCAAATTGCAATATTTTGATCCCAAATAAACCTTATTGGCTCGCATTTTGGCTTTTCAATTTTAGGTTAAGATAATCTTAAGCTTTTTCCAAAATATTTTAAGAATTAGCCTTGGATAATTTCTATATGCTTGTACATAAATAAATTAATAACAAAATAATAGCCAGAGCACATTTATGTAGAAGTTACTAAGGAAAACAACATTTTAAGAGCCTTTTAAACATTATAAGAATGAGGGTCAGCATGGCCAGCAAAGACCAACTTATGATAAAACAAGCATGGGCCTAGCCGGTTTGACTCAGTGGATAGAGAGTTGGCCTGCGGACTGAAAGGTCCCAGGTTCGATTCCAGTCAAGGGCATGTACCTTGGTTGAGGGCACATCCCCAGTAGGAGGTGTACAGGAGGCAGCTGATCAATGTTTCTGGTTCTCTATCTCTCTCCCTTCCTCTCTGTAAAAAACCAATAAAATATATTTAAAAGAAAAAAAAAGCATGAAACATCCAAGCAGGGCCAAAAAGAAGGAAATCTTGGATAAAGAACTCCAGAATATCCTATTAATTTAATTTCTAACAAATTATCACTGTTTTTTAAAAAGTATAATAGGAGATTTACAGCATAACCTTTGTGTAAACTTCATGCTTATTACCATATATTTTAATCCTAAATAAAACTATAAGATTCTCATTTCATCAAATAGAAATAAAATAATGATTTCTGATCCTTTAAACAATTATTAAAAAAATCTAATTAAAAAAATAATTGGATGCCTGAACCAAATTATTCAATCACGCAAACTTATTCATTGAGCACCTTGCCAGGCATTCCATTGAACTGGGGACCCAGTACAACAGAGGTATATAGACCTAACACACTGAGGCCAAGATTCTGAGTGGGCAACATCAATTAAGGGTTGGGACTTTGTTTCAAGAAGGCTTGTTTTTGTCTAGTTTATACATTATAATAAAACCCCGCACACCAAGGAGTATAGTCCTTATTTTATGTGTTTTTTTCTTAAGTAGAATAAAAGCTCCTTGAATAAAGAGATTGCCTTGTAGACCAATAGATACTCATGAGTGTTGCAAGGTGCTTGTATCAAGGCAGGTGCTAAGTGACTTTTGGGTAAGTATTCATTTGGGTATATATCAATGCAAGTCAGAAGAGATTTTTCTTTATGTTTCCAGGTTCCTGTGGTCTCTGTGATGGCCACTGGTTCTTCCCTAAGGATAATGGAGTAGTAGTTTATACTGTTACACAAGGCAATCATAGGAGATTCTGAAAATAAAATTAAAAAACCAATGAGATGTCAGAGATATGAATGCGATAGGGTGGGGCTCAGGAAGAAGAAGAGTACTTGAAGAAAATTTAAATTTGGCAAGAGAAGGACAGAGTGACAGGAAAGAGGAGGGACAACAGAACATCTAGGAATTGGTGGAAAGCCATTTGGTTTTATGCTTTCATTGTCTGAGTGAGAAGAAAATGTCCCCAGAGGTAAACTGACTTTTCAATAGCACATAGGACTTAGTCTATAGAGGCTGAATTAGAGAAAGATGAACAGAATGAAGGCTGGTAGCAAGGGGAGAAGTTGAAAGTCAGAAGTGGAGGGGAAATGAGAGGCTGAATCAGTGCCTACAGTTTAGGGAAGTAGCCCTTTTTCTTTTTTTCTTTTTTTTTTTTTTGGTGGTGGTTTGTTGGTAGAAGAAGGAAGTCAGCATAGAGGTAGTGTGGAGTAGATTTATTTAAAACAGAAACCAAAGACAAACTTTCTTGAGAAAGAAATAACATCTGTAAATGAAATGTTGTTTCTGCAAATTCCATTGCTAGCAGTTCTCCTCGCAACTGGCGACAATGAAGAGGGTAAGAACTCAGGCCACTGCCCTGTTGGGTGCAAAAGGGATGTGTGTGTGTGTGTGTGTGTGCGTGTGTGTGTGTGTGTGTGTGTGTGTGTGTGTGTGTGTTTCTGTGTGGTGTGGTGTCCTCGGAACATATCTGGAGAGGAGAATGCCAGCGTAGTTCTCAGTATCCCGTACTCTGGGACCCTGTGCCCTTCTGAAGGTTGTTTGTAAAGCCTGGGGCCCTGGGCAGCTGAGTGTCTGCTGAGGTAGCCATGGTTTCCCTAATCTCCAGATTCTTAGTGTTTCCTTCCTGGCAACTTTCTTCATTCTCTCTCCTTCCAGATGCCTTTTCTTCACCTCAGTCTATCTGTTCTTTTGCCACAGCCTTCCAGGAGGAGATCTCCTTCAAAATGACCTACAGCTCTTCCTTCTACAACAATTCCTGGGTGAAAAGTCGGCACTCTGTTTGGTTGGGTGACTTGCAGACTCATGGCTGGGACAACAACTCTAGCAGAATTATATTCCTGCGTCCTTGGTCCAAGGGCACCTTGAGCAAGAAAGAGATAAAAGACCTGGAAGAATTCTACCGGGTGGGCATCATTATAATGCCTCAATTAATTCACAGACATGCCAGTGAATGGCAGCTTAAATGTAAGTTCAATTCCCAAAATGGGGAAATGCAATGTGCTGGGTGAGTTCTTCATTCCAATTTCCCCCACATTCATTCTCTTCAGCATTCTCTGTCTGTACATTTATTGTATCCTATTGCATCATTCACCCTGGGTTATCATAATCACAACTCTCACACTACATGCTTCCTTATTCTCTTGCTCTCACTGTTTATGTCACTGTCTTTCAACCATTTGCTCACTTCGATTTCTCACAAAAGTCATTATTTCTTCCACCTTCAACAATGACAAATTTCACTTTTTCTAACTTCAGATCAAACCAAAGTTAGTTCCATTGTTTCAAAGCCATCAAACTTCTTTTATTTCTTTTTTTCACTTCTACTACTTTTATCTTTTTATTCCCACTTTCCTCTAATTTACAACCCTCTTTCCTAGATCCCTTTGAGATTCAGATAACACTGGGCTGTGAGTTGGACCCTGGGGGAGCCATAGGAAGCTTCTATCGATTTGCTTATCAAGGATCAGAGCTTCTGCACGCCCAAAACAATTCATGGCTACCATCTCCAAAGGGTGGAACAAGAGCTCAGGATGTGTACAGAGTATTCAATGAGAACCATGTCGCCAAGTATATAGTACAGAGGATTCTCAGTGACATCTGCCCACGCTTACTCTTGAGTATTCTTGATGCATGGAAGGCAGATCTCCAGAGACAAGGTCAGTCCCATATCTTTCCTCCAAGAATTTTCTAAAATTACACCTTCCCACCATCCCTTTTAATTGAGGATAAGAGGGAGAAGGGTAATGAGTGAATTCCCAGCATGTGATAGATGTGTTCGTCTAAGCCCGTGGTAGGCAAACTGCGGCTCACGATCCACATGCGGCTCTTTGGCCCCTTGAGTGTGGCTCTTCCTAAGCCTTAAAAGGATCCTAATTAAGTTAATAACAATGTACCTACCTATATAGTTTAAGTTTAAAATATTTGGCTCTCAAAAGAAATTTCAATCGTTGTACTGTTGATATTTGGCTCTGTTGACTAATGAGTTTCCCGACCACTGGTCTAAGCTGATGTGAAGATATGAACCCCGAGTCTGTGCTAGAGTCCTTATCTGAGTATCTCTCCTGTTCTCTGCAGTAAAACCTGAGGCCTGGCTGTCCACTGGCTCTAATCCTGGTCCTGACCGTCAGATGCTGGTTTGCCATGTCTCTGGCTTCCATCCAAAGCCAATTTGGGTAAAGTGGATGCGAGGTGAACAAGTACAACAGGGCACTCAACAAAGTGGTATCTTGCCCAATGCTGATGGGACATGGTACCTTCAGGTTTTCTTGGAGGTGGAAGCCACTGAGACATCTGGTCTATATTGCCGGGTGAGACATAGCAGCCTAGGAGGCCATGACATCCTCCTCTACTTGGGTAAGAAAGACTGGGGCCCACACTGGGAGTAGAGGTAGATGGTCCACAGCAGAGCAGGAGAGCCAAGTAAAACATTTGGGATTTATGGACTCCACACCCAAAAGAATGAAAATAATTAATTCAATAAAGAGAAGAACTGAAAATGAGAGACCTGCAGAAGTAGGATGATGTTGAGGGTTAGATGAAAGATTCAACTCTGAAGAGGGAAGAGAGAGGAAACAAGAACAAAGATTAGTGAGGCGAACACTCAAATAAAAAAGGCAGACCAGGGAAAGGCACTAAACGGGGTGGGTTTGAAATGACACCTTGTGTGCACCCAAACCCACAGAACATCATCAAGGCTCCGTGGGCTGGATCATCTTGGCAGTGATGGTGCCCCTGGTGCTTCTGACAGCTCTTGCATTTTGGCTTAGGAAGCGCTGGTGAGTTTTT